GTAGTAGTAGTAGTAGTTGTAGTAGTAGTAGTAGTAGTAGTAGTAGTAGTAGTAGTGGTAGTAGTAGTTGTTGTTGTACTAGTAGTACTAGTAGTAGTAGTAGTAGTAGTAGTAGTAGTAGTAGTAGTACAGTACTAGTAGTAGTAGTAGTAGTAGTAGTAGTAGTAGTAAGTAGTAGTAGTGGTGGTAGTAGTAGTAGTAGTAGTAGTACGAGAGCAGCAGCAGCAGCAGCAGCAGCAGCAGCAGCAGCAGCAGCAGTAGTAGTAGTAGTAGTAGTAGTAGAGTAGTAGTGGGACTCGTCGTCGTCGCCGTCGTCATAATAGTGGTAGTAGTAGCAGTAATTGCTTCTGGAAGAACCGACGAACTGCATGTCGGGTGGCAGCGGACGGGGATCGGGGGGTCCAGAGATTTGGGGATCGCTACACTGCGAAAGCATCTGTCGGGCCAACGTCCGTTTAGAGTTTTTGGCTTCGATGAGCGGCGCTGTCAACATCCTGTAGCCTTGCTGTATGGCCACGTCCCGATGGGCTTCACCAGAACCAAAGATAATTTTGTCTGAGTTCTGGGTGCTGCCTAGAGTCTTAGAGCACTCGAGTCGAATCCCAGCAATGATTTCATTATCTCACATCAAACTCCAAGGTTCGGTCCTGAAGCGGGATACCACGTAAGATCTCAGCATCCACCTGCAGGACGTGGCTCACGCTGATTCTCGAACGAGTTCGAACTCTCTCTGGCTTCTCACGATTTATAAGTGGTGATAGTTTTCCCATGCTGCTTTTCATGTCGGATTTTCAGCCTTCCGACTACCGGTCACTGGTCACTGCCACCTTCTCCACCTCGCTTCTGGCATAGGTACTATGCACCAACCGACCCGAATAATCTGGCATGGGCATGGACGAGCACCTCAAGGTGTCTCATGTGCTGCAATCGGCTCCATTTGCCTCGTCATGGCTCACCAACACAGAAGGACTACTGCCCATCTACAGGCAAGCCACTTGCAAAGTTTCAAACTGCGAGGACTTCAGCTCCGTGCCGAGCCGCTGGGAACCCTCGAGGCCGATGGATCCTGCGTGGCCGCCGCCCGCAACTCCCTCGGCCCCGCCTCCTGAAGCGACTCCTTGGTTCCGCTAGGATTTGCAGTGTCTGTGTGGGGTTAGGCTAGTATGCGTCGGTAAGGTCTGAAGTCCTTCGACCAGGGGCCAAAGGTGCAGGGGAATCGGCTTTGTCTGTGTAGCTGCTCACGACCTCGGGCGCCTCCTGAATATTGGGTCTTCTGATGCACAGGGTAATGCTTCAGTGCAAACGTAGCATTTCAATGCATCGACAGCACACCAGAATGTCATGACATGATGACGTAGTCATCTAGCCATAAACTGGCGCTGTCACATTCTCATGTTACAGTTCAACTGCAGGAAGAAAAAAGACTTTGCCAATGACGTGGGAGGAATTACCCATCATTCTCTCTGATCTCAGCCGGGCTGAGACATACACCTTTAGCAATGATATCACTTACGAAGACAGTTTGGTGCACAAGGCTGTAAGAAGCCTTTGGGCCCTCCGCCAGGTCTTCTTCCGCACAGCAGCTCGATTGCACTCCCATGGCCAGCCAAGGACACCCCAAAGGCAGGCTGTTGCGCCGTCCTTCTGCAAAATCAAACGATAACTACTTTTTTTGGGCGGCCTTGCCACATGTATGATAGAACGCCGTTTTTCAGACCTCTTTTCAGACCCATGGCTCGAGCCTAACAGCCGGCACAGGAGGTCGAGCAAACTCTAGAAGTGCAAGCACTTACTGCGAGTCTGTCGCCCTGCCCTCCAAAAACTCCGGTCCGTAAGAACAGCCTGCTTCGCTGATGGCCAATGGATCGGAATCCCCGAGCTGCAGTCGTAAACCACCTCGGCACCACGCTGATGTCGCAAATTGCTTGCGGGCTTGAACCATTATGACCTGGACCTGAAACTTGCAACGCAGGCAGGATTTGCGCACAGCATCCTGACTTAGATGCCACCACACAAGAAACGAAAATAACTATATCGACCCCCGTGAATATCAAAGATATGAGAAACTGCCCCTGGTTTTTGAGGACGAACACTCTAGCAAGCTTTCCAGCCAGGCAGCTGAGTCCGGGCAGGCGACATCATACTTCTTGCAGCAGAAGTACCTTGCAGCTGACCACACGCACGCGAGATGATCTCTTGATGAGGGAGTGCCAAGATGAGGTGAAAAAAAGCTCAAGGCCTGCAAACCGCAATCACAAGCTCTCACGTGCAGTAGAGGCGCTTCTTGGACTCGCTCCAACCGTGCCGCCAGTTCGTGACCTGCCGCGTGAGCTGATCAAAGCGCACAAACGAATCGACGAAGGGGGCGACGACGAGGCGATGGACAAAACCATCTGACAGTCTTCCCAGTCCACCACCTCCTTTAACACCTCCCGAGGTGGCGACCATGGTGGTACTCGTGGCAGAACGGCAGCGGCAGCGGCAGCAGCAGCAGCAGCGGCAGCAGCCATCAGCATCGCCACCGCCATCTTCGAAATCGGAGTGTTCGTAGTCGTCCTCCTTTCTCGTCCGTCCACGTCCAGTCCTGTTCCACTGCTCTTGCCACTCCTACCACCACAACCACCTCTGCCACTCCCGCTCATCCTCCTCCTCCGACAACTATGACAATAACCAGTGCTGCTACTCCTACTCCTTCGGAAAGCCCGAAGCCTGCTGACTGCTTGCTGCCTCCTTGGAAACACCCCCACAAGACCCTGCATCTGTGGCCCACGCCCCAGCACGACAGTCGTAGTCGTCCTTCGGGCAGCCCAGGGCCTTGCAGTTCAGTTTCCCGTCGCCTCTCTCCAGGCTGAACCAGACTTGAGCACCTCTTACTTAGCTACATACTCCTTTCAGGCAGTGAGCAGGTGCAAACGGCTCAGCCCTCAGACACTTTGTGGTTGGAATGGCTGAAATACTCTGAATGTTGCTCGCGATTGCGATGCCCCAGCAAGTGAAGAAGCTCCTAACCGAAGGAGCTCCTCATGGAAGCTCTGAGAATCTTCGATCCACTCGAGCCACTACGATCCGGAGAGAAGAAGCCCCTTCTAAAAGTTTGTAGGCAAGAGTCATGCTTCTGGCAGCACCAGGTTCGCTTCGCATCGGTCCAGGTGTCCTGGTTGCGAAGAGTGTCCCCAGCATCCGCCGGGAGAAAACATCACAACCACTCTTCCTTGAACCATGGACCAACGACACACAGGCTCATGCTATATTGCTGAGCATGGCTTACTGGCATTGAAGAGATGACAAGTCCTGGTCGTCCTCATAGCAGTCATCGCCTCTAGGGATAGCTTTGGAGGGCGGGGTATGTCAACTAAGGCCCTTGGCTGTTCTAGCTCTGCTGACTCCGAAGCAGAGCCGCTATGGCAGCCTTGGCCCGACAAGTTGCCGAGACACGCTGCATGCGTCACCTCGTATCCACGAGTCGATAAGTAGATAGTACACGAATCTTCGCATATGACTACTGCGGTAGAATTCAACGGAAACGCGAGATTATGTAGCGGCATGCATGTACACACAAACCTGAATGCGCGTGCATTTACATTCACTACATCACATTACGACACGTTACAGTAGGTTACTCTACATTACACGACACTACACTCAGTTGCATTGCCTTGCATTGCACTACATTACCTTATTACATTACATTACACTACGTTACATCGCATTACATTACATTACATTACATTACATTACATTACATTACATTACATTACATTACATTACATTACATTACATTACATTATTGCATTGAAATAAATTACACTACAGCTTACTTTACCTTATAAATGCTGTGCAGTCTTTGTGGAGCGTTCTTGCCACACATCGTTGGATGTGCTGCTCTTCTGACTCCTCTGTAGAGAGCAACATGCATGCATACTTACATGCATTGCGATACGATATAATACAATACAATCCAACACAATGCAACACAATACAACACAATGCAGTGCAATGCAATGCAATACAACAACACAACACAACACAACACACGACAACACCACACAACACAACACAACACAACACAACACAACACAACACAACACAACACAACACAGACAATAGCATACCGGTACCGATACCGATACCGATAGCGATAGCGATACCTATACCAATACGAAACAAAGACCACACCATACCATAAGCATACCATGCCATGCCACACGAGACCATACCACAGCGTACGACGTACAGCACAACACAATACAATACCATACGGCACAATGCGGCGCAACGCAAGGGGATGCATTGCAATGTCTGCTGCCACACTCTGCATGGCCTGAGCAACCCCTCTGCTCCGTTGCGCAGCAATGGACCTTCTTGGCCTGGCACTCAGCAGCATCTGGTTTAGCGTTAAGGCTTTTGCCGCTGCGCAAGAGCAAAAAAGCGCCCAAGGCTCTTGGAATTCTACGAGACCTGCACATCAAACGAAGCAAATCTTCCAGAGAGCTCTTGGCAGCTTTGGTCACCCGGGGTCCATGTAATGTCTGACTGCCGCTTGATGTGCAGAGCCTTGTGAACCCCAGCATTCCAGCTTCGCCACCAACTGGAACTTCCCTCACCAGCAAGAAAGCAGGTGTCTGCCTTGGACCAGGCAGCATGCCAGTTGTCGTAGGCTGCGTCGCAGTCGAACCTTTGGGCTTTCACACGGGAGGGTTCGCACAGCTAGAACCATCGGGCTTTGAGCGAGCCCCTGCTGCAGCTCAGATCTTCAGGAAAGGCTGGGTTCCAGGCGCAGGCGCTTGCGTGGTGACCGCGCAACCTTTTCCCAGCTGTGCGCAGCAGAAGGCCTTTGGAGCTTCGAAAACCCTTCAGTGTTGAGGTGCAAATGCTACTTCACAGCTCGGCTTGGGGGGGCAGATCGGCTGACGCAGCGAATCTTCGTACTTCCACGACCAAGAGCTGACAGAATGCTAAGTGGCCTGCTGGAGCTCTGGCCGGTTCTGAGGCCCACGACATTGCCTACAGACGGGCTGCTTTAGCGGCCGAGGATCTTTTTTCTCATCAGTCCAGACAGTCTCCCAATGGAAGTAGTCCAGTGCGCAATCGAACCTTGATTGCTGCATCCCACCAAATCAATGAATAGGCGTCTACTTTGGCGTTCGATCTTCACAACACCCAACTGGATGTGCCTAAGGGGCGAGAAAGGAAAAGGAAGGAACAGGTGGCATCCGCTCCGGGCAAAAACACGCGTCACAAGCGCAGCCGAGCATCTGAATCTGCAGAGCATCTCGGCTGTGCACAGGAGGGTTGCAAAGCTTGGACTCAGAAATCGCCTGACCTTCTGACGACTTTATCCTTCGGATGTAGGATGGCACCAACCGCATCCCAGGCTAACATTCTGAGTCTTACTTAGAAACGAAGATCCCAACTCCAACTCGAACCCCAAGTCTGAGTCTGGACATGGTGCCGGAGTGTGGATGGTGGTCTGCGGCGAAGGTCCACTGCCTGGTGAGCTTGGGAATGCGATCAACGGCTCATGAGACTCGAACTCGAACGAGAGAGAGCTGCAGCTCCCTCGATGCTGAATGTTCGAAACCCCACCAAGCCCTGATTCAACCAAGGCAAGCGCCGCCTTTGCAGGTCTGTTCTACCAAAAAACCCGGAAAGGGCACCTCCAGAAGATGCCCATCACGAGCGACACAATGACGGCGAGAAGCAGCAAGCCGCAGAAGCAGAGGCCTCGTGCTGCGGAGTTTCTCGCTTAGCTGCTTGACTCAAGGAAGACCTTTTTGCAAAAACTGTACACATGATATACCAATGCTGACAAAGACTGAAAGATGATCTCAACAATGCTTCGCAATTGTAAGTGATACAGATTGGAATGATTGGAATGTTTCATGTTGTGCAGCATCGTTCTGGTGGCAGACCACAGTCTATAAACTATAAACTGCAAGCCACAAGCTCCCCAGCTCGCCCGTAGGCTTGTTAGGCTGTCGCCGTCGCCGTCAAGTCGGAGTAGGAGTAGTAGTAGTAG